TCTAGTCCAGGAATGCTGGCGGGCTTACATAGGGTAGGGAGGGATGACGTAAGGGCTTGGAGAGGGCGGGGAGAGAGTGGGGGAGAGGGCGGGGAGAGAGTGGGGAGAGGGCGGGGCGCTGGGTATTGATCTGGATGGCTGCCGGAGGAGACTATAGACTCCAGGAGGCTCACATTGCCCCACGCACTCGCGGGGGCAACACTGGTTGATGCCGCGCCCATGTCGCTATGTACCTCGCCCACACGTCGCTATGTACCTCGCCCACACGTCGCTATGTACCTCGCCCACATGTCGCTATGTACCTCGCCCACATGTCGCTATGTACCTCGCCCACATGTCGCTATGTACCTTGCCCACACGTCGCTATGTACCTCGCCCACACGTCGCTATGTACCTCGCCCACACGTCGCTATGTACCTTGCCCACACGTCGCTATGTACCTCGCCCACAGCTGGGAGTTGCTAGGCCCTCTTCCTTGCTCTTGCTGGGAGTTCCTAGGTCCTCTTCCTTGCTCTTATTTGTACTCACCTATTTGTGCTTGCAGGATCGAGCACTGACTCGTGGATCCCGCCTTTCAAGCCATCGGTTGTTTACAGCAATGACTCCGGTCCTATTTCCCTATCATATCTAGTTTAAAATTATAAATAGTATTTGCTTCCACAACCTGTTCCTTAAGTGCAATCCATTTTCCCACTACTCTCACGCTAAAGGAATTCTTCCTAACATCTCTGTGACTCGTCTGAGTTTCCAGTTTCCACCCATGTCCCCTCGTTTTGTTACTATTACGTGTGAACATTTCGTCTATTTCCACTTTGTCAATTCCCCTGAGTATTTTATACGTTCCTATCATATCCCCCCCTCTCTCTTCTTTTTTTCTAGTGACGTAAGGCTCAGTTCCGTCAGGCGCCCTTCATACCCCCCATTTGTCGTAACTCTGGGACAAGCCTCGTCGCAAACTTCTGAATCTTTTCCAGTTTCCTTATGTGTTTCTTCAGGTGGGGACTCCATGTGTGTGTGTGTGTGTGTGTGTGTGTGTGTGTGTGTGTGTGTGTGTGTGTGTGTGTGTGTGTGTGTGCGCGCGCGCGCACACGGACGTTACCCGTGGAATGATCGAGTACTAAAGGGGAATGATTCATTATTCGAAGCGCACTCACACGCCCACTCTCACACACGCAAACCCACACACACACACGCATCACTCCTCAACTGTAATGGAGCAACTTTCCTGCGGAAGCTGTTCAAATGTCATCGACAAAACCTTAATTTTCCGACCGTCCGCAAAAAAAAAATAACTTCAGATTTTCACATTTTTATTCCCAAACATTCAAGCTTAGAATTTTCGAACGATCAGGTTCGTATTTAATGAATATATTCGCAGTTTGGTGTTTTTTCTCCTGCTATATCTCTCTCCATGTGTTTTTTTTTTCTGTTTTCGATTTAAAAACATTGACAAGTTCGGTGCTGAAAGCGATTGTGGGGTGGTGGTTGTGGGGGTAGTGGTGGTGGTTGTGGGGGTAGTGGTGGTGGTGGTTGTGGGGGTAGTGGTGGTGGTGGTTGTGGGGGTAGTGGTGGTGGTTGTGGGGGTAGTGGTGGTGGTGGTTGTGGGGGTAGTGGTGGTGGTTGTGGGGGTAGTGGTGGTGGTTGTGGGGGTAGTGGTGGTGGTTGTGGGGGTAGTGGTGGTGGTTGTGGGGGTAGTGGTGGTGGTGGTTGTGGGGGTAGTGGTGGTGGTTGTGGGGGTAGTGGTGGTGGTTGTGGGGGTAGTGGTGGTGGTTGTGGGGGTAGTGGTGGTGGTGGTTGTGGGGGTAGTGGTGGTGGTTGTGGGGGTAGTGGTGGTAGTTGTGGGGGTAGTGGTGGTGGTGGTGGGGGTAGTGGTGGTAGTTGTGGGGGTAGTGGTGGTGGTGGTGGGGTGGTGGTGGTGGTTGTGGGGGTTGTGGTGGTGGTTGTGGGGGTAGTGGTGGTGGTTGTGGGGGTAGTGGTGGTGGTTGTGGGGGTAGTGGTGGTGGTGGTTGTGGGGGTAGTGGTGGTGGTTGTGGGGGTAGTGGTGGTGGTGGTTGTGGGGGTAGTGGTGGTGGTTGTGGGGGTAGTGGTGGTGGTTGTGGGGGTAGTGGTGGTGGTTGTGGGGGTAGTGGTGGTGGTTGTGGGGGTAGTGGTGGTGGTTGTGGGGTAGTGGTGGTGGTAAGGGTTGGACTTAACTTTCATACCGTTATCAAACTCTTGCTCGTATCAGCTATAAGCCCTGAATCCCCCTTCCATCCCCCTTCCCTTTCCCTTCTCACCCCCTTCCCTTCTCCTGCCCATCCCCTTCCCTTTCAGGGCTTGAGCCTCTCCTTCTCTCGCTCTTTTCGTAACCTTAACTCTTTCCCTTTCCATCTCATTTGCATGTTTCCTTTCCTTTAAAATCTTTCTTTGTTCATTCACTTCTTATTTTAATCTATGGTGTCCCATTCCACCCCTTCCATCACCGCCTCCTCCTCCTTTTATCACTTACTTCACTTCCTTCATTTCATCTCGTTTCCTCTGACAAAATTTCATCATAAATTATCACATATTCCACCTCTATAAAAAAAAAATGGAAAATATCTCTCCAAGTTAAATCATGCACAAATCATGAGGACAAAATTCGAGTTAAAATCCAGTGATTTTGGACGCTAACTTTTGCTGAGAAGAGAGACAAGGGGCCACGGGAGTTAGTTTATGATCCGGGGAAATTTGGACACGAAGTGGAAATCCCGCCATGAGATGTGATTGAGAAGGAGGAGATGAGCAGGAGGAGGAGATGAGTAGGAGGAGAATTCTCGTGTTTGTGTAGAAGAAAGAGGTGGAGAGTAACAGGAGCTATCAGTGGAGGTACAGGAATATAGGAGGGGGATATAACCGGTTAGCAGCACCGCTCCTGTGGTAGGTCAGTCCACTACGGGCTCACCATAGCCCGTGCTACTTGTTACAGCACCGCTCCTGTGGTAGGTCAGTCCACTACGGGCTCACCATAGCCCGTGCTACTTGTTACAGCACCGCTCCTGTGACAGGTTAGTCTACTACGGGCTCACCATAGCCCGTGCTACTTGTTACAGCACCGCTCCTGTGACAGGTTAGTCTACTACGGGCTCACCATAGCCCGTGCTACTTGTTACAGCCCCGCTCCTGTGACAGGTTAGTCTACTACGGGCTCACCATAGCCCGTGCTACTTGTTACAGCACCGCTCCTGTGCCAGGTAAGTCTACTACGGGCTCACCATAGCCCGTGCTACTTGTTACAGCACCGCTCCTGTGACAGGTTAGTCTACTACGGGCTCACCATAGCCCGTGCTACTTGTTACAGCCCCGCTCCTGTGACAGGTTAGTCTACTACGGGCTCACCATAGCCCGTGCTACTTGTTACAGCACCGCTCCTGTGCCAGGTAAGTCTACTACGGGCTCACCATAGCCCGTGCTACTTGTTACAGCACCGCTCCTGTGACAGGTTAGTCTACTACGGGCTCACCATAGCCCGTGCTACTTGTTACAGCCCCGCTCCTGTGACAGGTTAGTCTACTACGGGCTCACCATAGCCCGTGCTACTTGTTACAGCACCGCTCCTGTGCCAGGTAAGTCTACTACGGGCTCACCATAGCCCGTGCTACTTGTTACAGCCCCGCTCCTGTGCCGGGTAAGTCCATTACGGGCTCACCATAGCCCGTGCTACTTGTTACAGCCCCGCTCCTGTGCCAGGTAAGTCTACTACGGGATCACCATAGCCCGTGCTACTTGTTACAGCACCGCTCCTGTGCCGGGTAAGTCCACTACGGGATCACCATAGCCCGTGCTACTTGTTACAGCCCCGCTCCTGTGCCAGGTAAGTCTACTACGGGCTCACCATAGCCCGTGCTACTTGTTACAGCACCGCTCCTGTGCCGGGTAAGTCCACTACGGGCTCACCATAGCCCGTGCTACTTGTTACAGCACCGCTCCTGTGCCGGGTAAGTCTACTACGGGCTCACCATAGCCCGTGCTACTTGGAACTTGTTCCGAGTAACTTAACCTATAACAACAACCACCGGTGAGCGTACACGATTAACCAGCTGGGTCAGCCACCGGGATCAGACAGTTGGATCCCACAACATAACCCAACATAAACCCACATAAAGAACAACCGATATGTTGCTTTTAGGGCGCCTCTCTATCCACTGTCTACTCAGGCTTGGACCCCCCCCCCCTCCGCCAACTCATTCAACCCGTCCTCCAAATAGAACGTCGTATTTTGACGTATACTCCACCTAAGGCCAAAAATCGTCGTATTAGAAAATTCAAGTAGTAGTAATACTACTATCCGAGTTACTAATGGTGGTCTGTACTGCTATATAAACACGGTTGTTTTAGGGAATAATTTACCGACATAATCGTGGGATAGCTGGATTGTTTCCAGCGTAGGTTAGACATGTGTACGAATGAGCTTTGGAGAGTATAAAGGTCAGAGGTGCCTCGTATGGGCCAATAGGCCTAATGCTGTTAGCTTTATTGTTAACTATATATACTTGTACTGAGAGGGTAAGTGCGATGTGCTGGCTAGGAGGACAGAGGTCTCTATCCCAGCACATGGGAAGGAGGTCTCTATCCCAGCACATGGGACAGAAGTCTCCTTTCCAGCACATGGGACAGAACTCTCCCTTGGACCAGGACGCTACCAACCCACAGCCTCCACCAGGCCTGTCTAAGGGGATCCCCGATAAGAGCAATTCACAAAGCTGCCGCGGTCGTAAAGGGTCCATGGGTGCGCTGGTCAGAGGGCAAGGGGAAAAGGGAGCAAAGAGGGAGTTGCGATGTAAGAGGAATCAAAAGGAACTTCAGGTGAAAGGGGTAGGGGTCAAGAGACATATCAAGGGGGAGAAATAGGGGAAATAAGGGCCAAGGGGAGGTAAGGGGGAGAGACAGAGGGGGCAAAGGGGCAGAGTTGAAGAGGAGAGGGGGAAAACGGAAATAGAGGGGATAGCAAGAGGAAAGAGAGGACAAAAGAGGCCGTAACTCTAGGCTGAGCTTATGCACGCTAGCAGTCCGGTCGGCTCTTGTGCGTCGTTTGTGGTGTTGTAGCGCTCTTGTGCGTCGTTGTAGCGCTCTTGTGCGTCGTTGGTGGTGTTGTAGCGCTCTTGTGCGTCGTTGGTAGTGTTGTAGCGCTCTTGTGCGTCGTTGGTAGTGTTGTAGCGTACTTGTGCGTCGTTGGTGGGTGTTGTAGCGCTCTTGTGCGTCGTTGGTGGTGTTGTAGCGCTCTTGTGCGTCGTTGGTGGTGTTGTAGCGCTCTTGTGCGTCGTTGGTGGGTGTTGTAGCGCTCTTGTGCGTCGTTGGTGGGTGTTGTAGCGCTCTTGTGCGTCGTTGGTGGGTGTTGTAGCGCTCTTGTGCGTCGTTGGTGGTGTTGTAGCGCTCTTGTGCGTCGTTGGTGGTGTTGTAGCGCTCTTGTGCGTCGTTGTAGCGCTCTTGTGCGTCGTTGGTGGTGTTGTAGCGCTCTTGTGCGTCGTTGGTAGTGTTGTAGCGCTCTTGTGCGTCGTTGGTAGTGTTGTAGCGTACTTGTGCGTCGTTGGTAATGTTGTAGCGTACTTGTGCGTCGTTGGTGGGTGTTGTAGCGCTCTTGTGCGTCGTTGGTAGTGTTGTAGCGCTCTTGTGCGTCGTTGGTAGTGTTGTAGCGTACTTGTGCGTCGTTGGTGGGTGTTGTAGCGCTCTTGTGCGTCGTTGGTGGGTGTTGTAGCGCACTTGTGCGTCGTTGGTGGGTGTTGTAGCGCACTTGTGCGTCGTTGGTAGTGTTGTAGCGTACTTGTGCGTCGTTGGTAGTGTTGTAGCGCTCTTGTGCGTCGTTGGTGGGTGTTGTAGCGCACTTGTGCGTCGTTGGTGGGTGTTGTAGCGCACTTGTGCGTCGTTGGTGGGTGTTGTAGCGCTCTTGTGCGTCGTTGGTGGGTGTTGTAGCGCACTTGTGCGTCGTTGGTGGGTGTTGTAGCGCACTTGTACGTCGTTGGTAGTGTTGTAGCGCTCTTGTGCGTCGTTGGTGGGTGTTGTAGCGCACTTGTGCGTCGTTGGTAGTGTTGTAGCGTACTTGTGCGTCGTTGGTAGTGTTGTAGCGCTCTTGTGCGTCGTTGGTGGGTGTTGTAGCGCACTTGTGCGTCGTTGGTAGTGTTGTAGCGTACTTGTGCGTCGTTGGTAGTGTTGTAGCGCTCTTGTGCGTCGTTGGTGGGTGTTGTAGCGCACTTGTGCGTCGTTGGTGGGTGTTGTAGCGCACTTGTGCGTCGTTGGTGGGTGTTGTAGCGCTCTTGTGCGTCGTTGGTGGGTGTTGTAGCGCACTTGTGCGTCGTTGGTGGGTGTTGTAGCGCACTTGTGCGTCGTTGGTAGTGTTGTAGCGCTCTTGTGCGTCGTTGGTGGGTGTTGTAGCGCACTTGTGCGTCGTTGGTAGTGTTGTAGCGCTCTTGTGCGTCGTTGGTAGTGTTGTAGCGTACTTGTGCGTCGTTGGTGGGTGTTGTAGCGCTCTTGTGCGTCGTTGGTAGTGTTGTAGCGTACTTGTGCGTCGTTGGTGGGTGTTGTAGCGCTCTTGTGTGTCGTTGGTGGGTGTTGTAGCGCTCTTGTGCGTCGTTGGTGGGTGTTGTAGCGCTCTTGTGCGTCGTTGGTAGTGTTGTAGCGCACTTGTGCGTCGTTGGTGGGTGTTGTAGCGCTCTTGTGCGTCGTTGGTAGTGTTGTAGCGCTCTTGTGCGTCGTTGGTGGGTGTTGTAGCGCACTTGTGCGTCGTTGGTAGTGTTGTAGCGCTCTTGTGCGTCGTTGGTAGTGTTGTAGCGTACTTGTGCGTCGTTGGTGGGTGTTGTAGCGCTCTTGTGTGTCGTTGGTGGGTGTTGTAGCGCTCTTGTGCGTCGTTGGTGGGTGTTGTAGCGCTCTTGTGCGTCGTTGGTAGTGTTGTAGCGCTCTTGTGCGTCGTTGGTAGTGTTGTAGCGCTCTTGTGCGTCGTTGGTAGTGTTGTAGCGCTCTTGTGCGTCGTTGGTGGTGTTGTAGCGCTCTTGTGCGTCGTTGGTGGGTGTTGTAGCGCTCTTGTGCGTCGTTGGTAGTGTTGTAGCGCTCTTGTGCGTCGTTGGTAGTGTTGTAGCGCTCTTGTGCGTCGTTGGTAGTGTTGTAGCGCTCTTGTGCGTCGTTGGTGGTGTTGTAGCGCTCTTGTGCGTCGTTGGTGGGTGTTGTAGCGCTCTTGTGCGTCGTTGGTAGTGTTGTAGCGCTCTTGTGCGTCGTTGGTAGTGTTGTAGCGCTCTTGTGCGTCGTTGGTAGTGTTGTAGCGCTCTTGTGCGTCGTTGGTGGGTGTTGTAGCGCTCTTGTGCGTCGTTGGTAGTGTTGTAGCGCTCTTGTGCGTCGTTGGTAGTGTTGTAGCGCTCTTGTGCGTCGTTGGTGGGTGTTGTAGCGCTCTTGTGCGTCGTTGGTGGGTGTTGTAGCGCTCTTGTGCGTCGTTGGTAGTGTTGTAGCGCTCTTGTGCGTCGTTGGTAGTGTTGTAGCGCTCTTGTGCGTCGTTGGTGGGTGTTGTAGCGCTCTTGTGCGTCGTTTTCTCTCTCTCGTCGACCTTCCGAACCTTCAGTGGTTCGGTTTTTGACGGCGAAAAACTGCAATTACACATTCACCCTAGTTACGTGTCCATGTGTCATCCACGTGTCATCCACGTGTCATCCATGTGTCATCCATGTGTCATCCACGTGTCATCCACGTGTCATCCACGTGTCATCCATGTGTCAAACATGTGTCATCCACGTGTCATCCACGTGTCATCCACGTGTCATCCATGTGTCATCCATGTGTCATCCACGTGTCATCCATGTGTCAAACATGTGTCATCCACGTGTCATCCATGTGTCAAACATGTGTCATCCATGTGTCATCCACGTGTCATCCATGTGTCATCCATGTGTCAAACATGTGTCATCCACGTGTCATCCACGTGTCATCCATGTGTCATCCATGTGTCATCCACTTGTCTTCCATGTGTCATCCACGTGTCATCCACTCGTCATCCATGTGTCATCCACGTGTCATCCATGTGTCATCCACGTGTCATCCATGTGTCATCCACGTGTCATCCACTTGTCATCCACGTGTCATGCACTCGTCATCCGCATGGGACTCATGGGGAGAAACTGGTAAGGAACTTCCAAGATGTTAATAGGTGTTAATTTTGAGAAAAATCTGGAGGAGTCGTGATTTGCGGTTCGAACTTGGGTTCGAATCCAAGTGTCTGGGATCGAACACGCACACTTTCAGGTTCGAATCCTCCTCATGGCTTCTACTGATTTTATCATTGATAAATCTCGTTAATGCGATTTCATTGTGCAGTCTTAATTTTGTTAATTAATTCTGTTAGAGTTCAGAGGTGCCAGAGTTAGAGGTGCCAGAGTTAGAGGTGCCAGAGGTCAGGTTAATTTATTAACCTGACCTCTGGCACTCAGTGTGTCTATTAGCCTGACCTTTGGCACTCAGTGTGTCTATTAGCCTGATTTCTGGCACTCAGTGTGTCTATTGGCCTGATTTCTGGCACTCAGTGTGTCTATTGGCCTGATTTCTGGCACTCAGTGTGTCTATTGGCCTGATTTCTGGCACTCAGTGTGTCTATTAGCCTGACCTTTGGCACTCAGTCTGTCTATTAGCCTGATTTCTGGCACTCAGTGTGTCTATTGGCCTGATTTCTGGCACTCAGTGTGTCTATTGGCCTGATTTCTGGCACTCAGTGTGTCTATTGGCCTGATTTCTGGCACTCAGTGTGTCTATTGGCTTGACCTCTGGCACCCAAACTGCCCGCCCAGTCCACCTCAGATACGGTCCGGATCAGAGCAGGTCCATCCGACTGTTGTGGTCAGCGGTGGCACTAGTGGTCTTATCTTTCCAGCAAGAGAAGCTTGGACTTGACAAAGCCCTGGACAGGGAAGGGACTGGAACTATCAGGAGCCATTGGAAAGGGGTCAGGATTTGGGATGGGACGGGGGTGGAAAGGAATGGTGCCCAAACACTTGGACGGTCGGGGATTGAACGCCGACCTGCATGAAGCGAAACCGTCGCTCTACCATCCAGCCCAATTGGTTAATAGTCCCAGAGAGGACTTGTAAATCAGCAGCCACCGATGTCTGCCCGTCTTACAGCCGTCTTGTACAGCAAGTATGTCTGTCAGCCTTAAAGGGATGAGTACCAGTCGACTCATTTGCTCAGGAACGTCTAATTACGAACGACGTAAAACTAGACGCAGATGATGCCTTGACGACCTTCTTGATGAATAAGATCGTATTGTATGGGAGATTAGATGATATAGCGTTGATATAGCGATGATGCCTTGACGACCTTCTTGACGAATAAGATCGTATTGTATGGGAGATTAGATGATATAGCGTTGATATAGCGATGATGCCTTGACGACCTTCTTGACGAATAAGATCGTATTGTATGGGAGATTAGATGATATAGCGTTGATATAGCGATGATGCCTTGACGACCTTCTTGACGGATAAGATCGTATTGTATGGGAGATTAGATGATATAGCGTTGATATAGCAATGATAGCGTTGTTATAAGGATTTCCTCTGACGAACACTGAGAGAGAGAGAGAGAGAGAGAGAGAGAGAGAGAGAGAGAGAGAGAGAGAGAGAGAGAGAGAGAGAGAGAGAGAGAGAGAGAGAGGATTATGAGATTCAGGAGTTCTTGACTATGATAATCACACTACAGACTTTCCTTCGAAACTGCAACCAAGTCCTTCTTTCTTCCTTCTTGAATTCTTGTGACTATTCTTATTATCATCTCCATCTGAGTGTCGTTATCACGATGTTATCTCGTGTCTGTTAGCCTCTTATCTTCTCTCTCCCTCCTGTTCATCACAGAAAACTTACAGAAACTAATCCAAGTCTTGCTTATGATTAAAGCAATAGATGAGGGCTGAAATGTCACAGATGTGACATATCAGCCCTCTTCCTCAGGCTGATATCTGAGGAAGATATCTGATCTTCCTCAGACGTATCAGGGCTTCCTACGAGCCGTAGGAAGCCTCCTACCCTCCTACGAGGCGTTACAGGATTACATTGCTTGGTGTTGGAAACACATTGAGATATAGCTTTGAGTATTTGTGATGTATCTGACTGTTGGTGCGTGTGGATTGTCAGTATTGTGATCGTTTATTTAATACGGTGATTGGGGCCATATTTTAATCCTCGTCTATAGACGGTAAATACTAATTTGTTGGCCAAATATTTGAATATAATTAAACTGTAAATTAACATAGTAACTCAAGCTTATGCACCTCTATCTAATGGACGTTGAAATATGTGAACTAATGTTTCAGGCGGAATTGAAAGCAATTATTCAAATTGAGGGTAAATTGGTTGCAATTTTCTAGCGAATATATCGCTGGCATTACAAATTGATGGCCATGTCTGGATATTCTTTTAATTGGACGATTTTTAAGTTTTTTGGTTATAACTCGCTTCCCGCCAAACACACACCGAAACTACGACGTTGGTGCAACGTTCGAACGAGTTTTAACACCACCTAACCAGTTATAACAACCAATATAGCAAGTTGTAACAACGTTCTAATACGTCATAAACACGTTAAGCCAAGATGTAACAACTTTATTACAAGTTGTAACAACGTTCTAATACGTCATAAACACGTTAAGCCAAGATGTAACAACTTTATTACAAGTTGTAACAACGTTCTAATACGTCATAAACACGTTAAGCCAAGATGTAACAACTTTATTACAAGTTGTAACAACGTTCTAATACGTCATAAACACGTTAAGCCAAGATGTAACAACTTTATTACAAGTTGTAACAAGCGGAAAATAGAGACAGTTTCGGTTTGTGTTTCCAGGGTTGTTCTTTCTCACTAACAATCTTTGAAGGAGATTTGCCACCTCTTTCATCATATATTTCTCTAACCTTGCCACCCTTGGGAGCCGGTCGGCCGAGCAGACAGCACACTGGACTTGTGATCCTGTGGTCCTGGCTTCGATCCCAGGCGCCGGCGAGAAACAATGGGCAGAGTTTCTTTCACCCTATGCCCCTGTTACCTAGCAGTAAAATAGGTCCCTGGGTGTTAGTCAGCTGTCACGGGCTGCTTCCTGGGGGTGGAGGCCTGGTCGAGGACCGGGCCGCGGGGACACTAAAGCCCCGAAATCATCTCAAGATAACGTCGCGACCTGCTGATTGTGGCATAAATAGGGCGAGATCGCAGCGCTGGCTGGCAGGAGCCCTCATTGGGTGACGGATAGTGCCAGGGTTCGCACCCAGTGCCAGAGTGTCAAGCTGATGTGATTGGGCAAGTTCCATGTTATAAAACCACACGGCACATAACCGCATGGCACATTAACACTTGCCCAATAGTTGCAGTCTGGGTAGCAAGGTGTTTGGTCCAGAGAGAACTCATATTACTGTATCAGTGAGAAAATCAGTCGGAGCCGTAAGAAGGATTCGAACCTGCGCACTGGGTACTCTTTTCCTCAAGTTGTTTGGTTATCAAGTGCCTCGTCGATATAATATACGAGTTACAAGTTTTGTAATAAAGCTCAAGTTATGATTAAAGAGCCAAGTTGTCTGTCTTCGCCTGATGGACGGAGGACCTAATTACCGGTATAATGAGGCGGTAATTAGTGCTAATAACATCATTTTTTTTTATTATTATTTTCTACCACAGACGTGGCCAGACATTTACAGTGCTAACCAGCATATATACATTTTCTTCTGTCCTCCATGGACAGGGTTAGAGAAGTGTTAAACATATAGTTCAAGGGTTTATCATTAGGGCTGATGCGCCTCAGGCTTATCCAACAACAGCTTCACAGATTACAAAATGACTCAATCATTTCATCACACAAATGAGTCTAATGTTTGCTTTTCTTCTGTGGGAGCTTATCTTGAGGTTATCTTGAGATGATTTCGGGGCTATCTTGAGGTTATCTTGAGATGATTTCGGGGCTATCTTGAGGTTATCTTGAGATGATTTCGGAGTTATCTTGAGGTTATCTTGAGATGATTTCGGGGCTATCTTGAGGTTATCTTGAGATGATTTCGGGGCTATCTTGAGGTTATCTTGAGATGATTTCGGGGCTATCTTGAGGTTATCTTGAGATGATTTCGGAGTTATCTTGAGGTTATCTTGAGATGATTTCGGGGTTATCTTGAGATGATTTCGGGGCTATCTTGAGATGATTTCAGAGTTATCTTGAGGTTATCTTGAGATGATTTCGGGGTTATCTTGAGATGATTTCGGGGCTATCTTGAGGTTATCTTGAGATGATTTCGGAGTTATCTTGAGGTTATCTTGAGATGATTTCGGGGTTATCTTGAGATGATTTCGGGGCTATCTTGAGGTTATCTTGAGATGATTTCGGGGCTATCTTGAGGTTATCTTGAGATGATTTCGGAGTTATCTTGAGGTTATCTTGAGATGATTTCGGGGCTATCTTGAGGTTATCTTGAGATGATTTCGGAGTTATCTTGAGGTTATCTTGAGATGATTTCGGGGCTATCTTGAGGTTATCTTGAGATGATTTCGGGGCTATCTTGAGGTTATCTTGAGATGATTTCGGAGTTATCTTGAGGTTATCTTGAGATGATTTCGGGGCTATCTTGAGGTTATCTTGAGATGATTTCGGAGTTATCTTGAGGTTATCTTGAGATGATTTCGGGGCTATCTTGAGGTTATCTTGAGATGATTTCGGAGTTATCTTGAGGTTATCTTGAGATGATTTCGGAGTTATCTTGAGGTTATCTTGAGATGATTTCGGGGCTTTTTAGTGTCCCCGCGGCCCGGTCCTCGACCAGGCCTCCACCCCCAGGAAGCAGCCCGTGACAGCTGACTAACACCCAGGTACCTATTTCACTGCTAGGTTACAGGGGCATAGGGTGAAAGAAACTCTGCCCATTGTTTCTCGCCGGCGCCTGGGATCGAACCTAAGGACCACAGGATCACAAGTTCAGCGTGCTGTCCGCTCGGCCGACCGGCTCCAATGGGCTTACCTAATAGTGCCAATTTGTGTCTATCTAAATCAGCTTCTAGATCTAGAGGTTGATTTTTTTTTACCTTTACTCTATTATGTAGACCTCCTGGCGTTCTAAATATACCAGCTCCTCAATGCTCAACTACCACTATCTACTCTATCAACTACCACTATCTACTCTATCAACTACCACTATCTACTCTATCAACTACCACTATCTACTCTATCAACTACCACTATCTACTCTATCAACTACCACTATCTACTCTATCAACTACCACTATCTACTCTATCAACTACCACTATCTATTCTATCAACTACCACTATCTATTCTATCAACTACAGGGTTAGTGGAATTACCACTATCCCGGCATAGAAATATTTTCTTTCATATATTTGCCTCATTTGCATTGTCAACTTTATCTGTGCCTCTTCGTTCTGTTATGCCTCACCTTGCTGGAAAAACTGTCTGTATCCGCTTTGTCTATTTATCTTAGTATCTTGTACGTTGTGATCATATCTCCTCTGGTTCATATTTCTGTTCTAATGTCTCTAGATGGAGTTTTTTTTCATGATGTTCCTACAGCTCATTTTAGTATCTTCGGTACTTGTTTCCTGGCTGTAATAGATTCAGCTACTGGGAACAAAACGGTCCAAAGTAGCACGGGCTATGGTGACCCCGTAGTGGACTTACCCGGCACAGGAACGGGGCTGTAACTCCATTGAACTCTTTCAGTTCTCTGCTTGTGTTACTCCTGAGCTTGGAGTCTGTCAAGCCATACCCATTTCCGCCCACTCTCACTACCCATTACCACCCATTCTCACTACCCATTACCACCCATTCTCACTACCCATTAGCTCTCTGCTCCTCGTCCAAGGCAGACACAAGAGCCGCGCCTCCACGACACAATGTACGACACCTCCAGCTGTTCGGGACATTTCCATAGTATTAATGGTTCGAGCCCCACCCTCCCCACAGCCGCCTTCCTCACAGATGGGAACTGGGGGACTGAGATCCGGGAGTGTCAACTGGGGGCTGAGATCTGGGAATGGGAACTGGGGGACTGAGATCTGGGAGTGGGAACTGGGGGACTGAGATCCGGGAATGGGAACTGGGGGACTGAGATCTGGGAGTGGGAACTGGGGGACTGAGATCTGGGAGTGGGAACTGGGGGGCTGAGATATGGTAGTGGGAACTGGGGGACTGAGATCTGGGAGTGGGAACTGGGGGACTGAGATCTGGGAGTGGGAACTGGGGGACTGAGATCCGGGAGTGGGAACTGGGGGACTGAGATCTGGGAGTGGGAACTGGGGGACTGAGATCCGGGAGTGGGAACTGGGGGACTGAGATCCGGGAGTGGGAACTGGGGGACTGAGATCCGGGAGTGGGAACTAGGGGACTGAGATCCGGGAGTGGGAACTGGGGGACTAAGATCCGGGAATGGGAACTGGGGGACTGAGATCCGGGAGTGGGAACTGGGGGACTGAGATCCGGGAGTGGGAACTGGGGGACTGAGATCCGGGAATGGGAACTGGGGGACTGAGATCTGGAAGTGGGAACTGGGGGACTGAGATCTGGGAGTGGGAACTGGGGGACTGAGATCCGGGAGTGGGAACTGGGGGACTGAGATCCGGGAATGGGAACTGGAGGACTGAGATCCGGGAATGGGAACTGGGGGACTGAGATCCGGGAGTGGGAACTGGGGGACTGAGATCTGGGAGTGGGAACTGGGGGACTGAGATCTGGGAGTGGGAACTGGGGGACTGAGATCCGGGAGTGGGAACTGGGGGACTGAGATCCGGGAGTGGGAACTGGGGGACTGAGATCCGGGAATGGGAACTGGGGGACTGAGATCCGGGAATGGGAACTGGGGGACTGAGATCTGGGAGTGGGAACTGGGGGGCTGAGATCTGGGAATGGGAACTGGGGGACTGAGATCTGGGAGTGGGAACTGGGGGACTGAGATCCGGGAATGGGAACTGGGGGACTGAGATCTGGGAGTGGGAACTGGGGGACTGAGATCCGGGAATGGGAACTGGGGGACTGAGATCCGGGAATGGGAACTGGGGGACTGAGATCCGGGAGTGGGAACTGGGGGACTGAGATCCGGGAGTGGGAACTGGGGGACTGAGATCCGGGAGTGGGAACTGGGGGACTGAGATCCGGGAATGGGAACTGGGGGGCTGAGATCTGGGAGTGGGAACAGGGGGCTGAGATCTGGGAGTGGGAACTGGGGGACTGAGATCCGGGAATGGGAACTGGGGGACTGAGATCCGGGAGTGGGAACTGGGGGACTGAGATCCGGGAGTGGGAACTGGGGGACTGAGATCCGGGAGTGGGAACTGGGGGACTGAGATCCGGGAATGGGAACTGGGGGGCTGAGATCCGGGAGTGGGAACTGGGGGACTGAGATCCGGGAATGGGAACTGGGGGACTGAGATTCGGGAGTGGGAACTGGGGGACTGAGATCCGGGAGTGGGAACTGGGGGGCTGAGATCTGGGAGTGGGAACTGGGGGACTGAGATCTGGGAGTGGGAACTGGGGGGCTGAGATCTGGGAGTGGGAACTGGGGGACTGAGATCCGGGAATGAGAACTGGGGGACTGAGATCCGGGAATGGGAACTGGGGGACTGAGATCTGGGAGTGGGAACTGGGGACCTCAGAAGAATACTGGAGATTACAGAAGCTTGTTGCTAGGACATGGAAAGTAGGTTCTGTGAATTACGAATGTGATGCTGGGTGGAGACAGCTGAGGACTTAGCAATGAAAGCTGAGAGATGGGAGATCTCCCAGCTGTCCCAGCCTATGTTTCGTGCAGGATAGAAACTAGGTGCTAGGAGTTAGGAAATGATGCTGCAGGCTGTTGTGGGCTGCAGGCCGCTTCCTTCGTCCTGTCTTATATATATACTTGGCATCTTGAAGATTTTCGCCCATAGATGGCGTGATTGTAAGGGTATATATTTTGCTTTTTGATTTTCATGTGGGTTCATGTTTCCGTTTTTTGTACTGGAGGATTTGCTAATCCTAATTGAGGCCTGGTCGACGACCGGGCCGCGGGGACGCTAAGCCCCGGAAGCACCTCAAGGAAGCACCTCAATGTAATCCGTCTTACATGTGGCAGAAATGTTTATATGTTGAATTGTTTTTATTTGTTGCATAGAAATGTTTATAGTTATTGCAGAAATGTTTCTACCGGGTTATATAAATAGTTCTACTATCTTGAGGTTATCTTGAGATGATTTCGGGGCTTTAGTGTCCCCGCGGCCCGGTCCTCGACCAGGCCTCCACCCCCAGGAAGCAGCCCGTGACAGCTGACTAACTCCCAGGTACCTATTTACTGCTAGGTAACAGGGGCATTCAGGGTGAAAGAAACTTTGCCCATTTGTTTCTGCCTCGTGCGGGAATCGAACCCGCGCCACAGAATTACGAGTCCTGCGTGCTATCCACCAGGCTACGAGGTCCCCTATCCGGACAAACAAAACAAAAAAAAAATCCATGTCAGGTTTTGTCAATGTAGAAATGTTTTTGCTAGATACATTGTTTTTTACCTATTACAAAAATGTTTTTGGCTCTTGAAGATTGATTGGTGCCACCGGAGGCGGCTAGTTTATTGTGCACCTCATACTTATCCTGTGAGCGGTAGCGCAAAAAGCATTACCCGAGGGCACAAAAGGTCTTTATCAGACTAACTCGACAATTTCCGACGTGCAATGTTATGGATATCTCAGGACATTACAGGGCCGGTGGCTGAGCGGGCAGCACGCTGGACGCGTAATCCTGTAGTCCCGAGTTCGATTCCGGGCGCCGGCGAGAAACAATGGGCAGAGTTTATTTCACCCTATGCCCCTGTTACCTAGCAGTAAAATAGGTACCTGGGAGTTAGACAGCTGTCACGGGCTGCTTCCTGGTGTGTGTGTGTGGTGTGTGGGGGGTGGGGGGGGGGAAGTTGATTGACAGTTGAGAGGCGGGCCGAAAGAGCAGAGCTCAAGCCCCGCAAGCACAGCTAGGTGAATACAACTAGGTGAATACAACTAGGTGAATACAACTAGGTGAATACAACTAGGTGAATACAACTAGGTGAATACAGGAAATTGCATTCTTGTTTAATACGCGTGATTGTTAAGACGACTTAAACCAAAAGTAGAAACCTTCAAGAAACGACTAGACTTAAGAAAAGTCGTCGTGGCCTAGTCGTCCAAGGCGTGTGCTTGTCAGTGCCAAGCACATACGTTCGAATCCTCGGAACGGCTCCTAAGGATTAATGTGATTGCTCGGTGTATGGTGTCGAACCTGAACTAGACACGTTTCTGCATGTGGTCCCGGGTGACACGACACTAGAGTGCCATTAGTGCTGGCACCTGTTGCTAATAGCTTTGGCATCTGTTGCTAGTAGCTTTGGCACCTGTTGCTAGCAGCTTTGGCATCTGTTGCTAGTAGCTTTGGCACCTGTTGCTAGCAGCTTTGGCACCTGTTGCTAGTAGCTTTGGCACCTGTTGCTAGTAGCTTTGGCACCTGTTGCTAGTAGCTTTGGCACCTGTTGCTAGTAGCTTTGGCACCTGTTGCTAGTAGCTTTGGCACCTGTTGCTAGTAGCTTTGGCACCTGTTGCTAGTAGCTTTGGCACCTGTTGCTAGCAGCTTTGGCACCTGTTGCTAGTAGCTTTGGCACCTGTTGCTAACAACTTTGGCACCTGTTGCTAGCAACTTTGGCACCTGTTGCTAGTAGCTTTGGCACCTGTTGCTAGTAGCTTTGGCACCTGTTGCTAGTAGCTTTGGCACCTGTTGCTAGCAGCTTTGGCACCTGTTGCTAGTAGCTTTGGCACCTGTTGCTAACAACTTTGGCACCTGTTGCTAGCAACTTTGGCACCTGTTGCTAGTAGCTTTGGCACCTGTTGCTAGCAGCTTTGGCACCTGTTGCTAGCAGCTTTGGCACCTGTTGCTAGCAGCTTTGGCACCTGTTGCTAGCAGCTTTGGCACCTGTTGCTAGCAGCTTTGGCACCTGTTGCTAGTAGCTTTGGCACCTGTTGCTAGCAGCTTTGGCACCTGTTGCTAGTAGCTTTGGCACCACGGCATCTTGACAACACTCCTACAGATGTCAAACCTCTGTAGTCACACTAACCGTAAAATATACAGTCCAACAAAGGTTAAACTTTCAGCTTTCTGTCAAATTTGAACATTTACATTATAGAATTCAACATTTGATGAACATTGAACTTTTGCTGAACAATGAACGGTTAAACATTCTCTAAAACTCGTCAATTTCCACTGAAAATAATGACGGCTTGCACACCTGCCCTAGACACCTGTTACACCTGTCAGGTGTTGCTTGGCCAGCCCCTCTCTCAGGTATTTGGCCAGCCCCTCTCAGGTGTTTGGCTAGCAGATCTCAGCTTTTTGGCCAGCAGACCTCAGCTCTTTGGCCAGCAGATCTCAGCTTTTTGGCCAGCAGACCACAGCAGTCATCGATCTCCTAGAAAGAAAAGTCCCACATGGACCAAATGCTAGGATGTTGTTGTTAAAGATTCGCTACTTGGAACAAGCAGTTCCAAGTAGCACGGGCTATGGTGAGCCCGTAAATGCTAGGAACACCTCCTCCCACAACACTATACGAGTCCAGAGAGGCGGTGTTGTCCCCCCAGTAACACAAAGTTGTGATCCCAGAAGCGTGTGTGTGTTGTACAGGAGTGGGCTTTCAACCTTCCCTTGTACGGGATTTACTCGACCGGAGTCGGATCACTGGAAGCTTGTGGTGGATCGGGTGTTCGTGTGTGGATCAGGGGAAGCTTGTGGTGGATCGGGTGTTCGTGTGTGGATCACTGGAAGCTTGTGGTGGATCGGGTGTTCGTGTGTGGATCAGGGGAAGCTTGTGGTGGATCGGGTGTTCGTGTGTGGATCAGGGGAAGCTTGTGGTGGATCAGTGTTCGTGTGTGGATCAGTGGAAGCTTGTGGTGGATCAGTGTTCGTGTGTGGATCAGTGGAAGCTTGTGGTGGATCGGGTGTTCGTGTGTGGATCAGGGGAAGCTTGTGGTGGATCGGGTGTTCGTGTGTGGATCAGGGGAAGCTTGTGGTGGATCGGGTGTTCGTGTGTGGATCAGGGGAAGCTTGTGGTGGATCGGGTGTTCGTGTGTGGATCAGGGGAAGCTTGTGGTGGATCGGGTGTTCGTGTGTGGATCAGGGGAAGCTTGTGGTGGATCGGGTGTTCGTGTGTGGATCAGGGGAAGCTTGTGGTGGATCAGTGTTCGTGTGTGGATCAGTGGAAGCTTGTGGTGGATCAGGTGTTCGTGTGTGGATCAGGGGAAGCTTGTGGTGGATCGGGTGTTCGTGTGTGGATCAGGGGAAGCTTGTGGTGGATCAGGTGTTCGTGTGTGGATCAGGGGAAGCTTGTGGTGGATCGGGTGTTCGTGTGTGGATCAGGGGGAGATTCAATACGATCCACCAGTACTGATCAATACGTAAGAATCCATATGATTTTTGTTGAATAAAAACAGTAATCAAATATTACTGTCTACTCTCTTATTTTCCGATGGGTTCCCTGTCTGGAGTAATAGGTAAATGAGTAATGATTACTCATTAGTAATTATTAGTAATAATTACTCATTATCTTTCTTGTAGTGAATTTTGTTTAAACAAAGCTATCTCCTAATTTTAAACTCATGCCTACGAAAATGACGCAAATTTTAAATTTTTAAATTTTGCCCCGAGGGGCGAGTTTATTGGGCAGCGTCACTCATCTTGTGAGTGGACACACCGCCATAGTGACTGTATTGGGCAGCGCCACTCATCCTGTGAGTGGACACACCGCCATAGTGACAGTATTGGGCAGCGCCACTCATCCTGTGAGTGGACACACCGCCATAGTGACAGTATTGGGCAGCGCCACTCATCCTGTGAGTGGACACACCGCCATAGTGACAGTATTGGGCAGCGCCACTCATCCTGTGAGTGGACACACCGCCATAGTGACAGTATTGGGCAGCGCCACTCATCCTGTGAGTGGACACACCGCCATAGTGACAGTATTGGGCAGCGCCACTCATCCTGTGAGTGGACACACCGCCATAGTGACAGTATTGGGCAGCGCCACTCATCCTGTGAGTGGACACACCGCCATAGTGACAGTATTGGGCAGCGCCACTCATCCTGTGAGTGGACACACCGCCATAGTGACAGTATTGGGCAGCGTCACTCATCCTGTGAGTGGACACACCGCCATAGTGACAGTATTGGGCAGCGCCACTCATCCTGTGAGTGGACACACCGCCATAGTGACAGTATTGGGCAGCGCCACTCATCCTGTGAGTGGACACACCGCCATAGCAGCATGTACAACACTCCCCAATAGGAAGAAAACCCGCTGGGTTGTTCATCCTGTCACTTGTACCCAGACACAGCTGGGACTTGATTAACCGTCTGGGCTTCAGACGCAGGGTAAGGAGAGAGGTACAATGATATTCAGTATAAGAGAGAAAGTTTAAAGAAACAATTATCAATTAGACGGGTAATGATGAAATTATAAGACAGTAAAGTCATGCTGATAGACTAATGTCTCCTCTTCACCAATGTTAAACTATTTTGTTTTATTCTTTCATTAAAGAAGAAAATTTGCTTGCATTATTTTCTGCTTGTCACAACTTGATTACAAGTTGTTACGTCTTGTTATAAGGTTTTTATGACCTATTAGAACGGCGTTACAACT